TTAAGAAACAAAACAAATGAACATATGGGAAGGGAAGGAAAAATAAAATAAGATGAAAACAGGGAGGTAAACCATAAGAGACTCTTAACTCTAGGAAACAAAGTGAGGGTTGCTGGAGGGAAGGTGGGTGGGGGGATGGGGTAACTGTGATGGGCATTAAGGAAGGCACTTGATGTAATGGGCACTGGCTGTTATATGCAACTGATGAATCACTAAACTCTATCCCTGAAACTAATAATACACTTTATGTTAACTAAATTGAATTTAAATAAAAAATTGGGATTCAACAGTCTTGCACTATTCACAACGCTCACCATAGTACATACTTCTGAAACAAATAATGCAACATATGTTAAAAAAAAAAAAAGAAAGAAAAAGAAGATAGCAGGAGGGGAAGAATGAAGGGGAGTAAGTCAGAGGGGGAGACGAACCATGAGAGATGATGGACTCTGAAAAACAAACTGAGGGTTGTAGAGGGGAGGGGGGTGGGGGGATGAGTTAGCCTGGTGATGGGTATTAAAGAGGGCACATTCTGCATGGAGCACTGGGTGTTATGCACAAACAATGAATCATGGAACACTACATCAAAAACTAATGATGTAATGTATGGTGATTAACATAACAATAAAAAAATTTTTTAAATTGGGAAAAAAACAAAGAAGCAGAATTTGTCATTTCTGACCTTAATTATTTATAAAAACAATAGAGAATGGCTTCGGTAACTCATGGGCTGGCTCATACTTAAGTAGAGGAATATACTTTTTTTCCATAGTTCCTTAGCAGTTCAAGTTCAGCTTGTCAATGGAAAATGCTAGATAAAACATTTTAAACATGCATTACCTTGCTAAGTAATTATATTTTGTTATTATATATGTTATTTGTCTTTGATGTAGCTTCACTGCTTTAATCTTAGCTAGTGGAAAGAATGAAATGCATGTGTACCTGGAGCCTTTCAATAGGAGTGCAATCTTCTAAATTCTGAAAATATTCTTAAAGACAATAGACCAAAGGGCCACCAAAAAATAAATAAACCCACCCAGTAATGGACATTTGCCATTGTTTAAAGCTGTCTTTCACACCAAAAAGAGTATGCTTCATACTTCCATCACTTAAAATTCAAACTCTCCCACCATGCAAAGCCCTCATTCACTACACTGCTTCATTTGGGCTTCTAAGCCCTGCACTTCACGATGATCAATCTATATATTCTCCCAACTTGACATCATTATTCATAGTGCTTCCCCAAATCAAATGTGACAATACCACTTGTAATATGGACTAACAATGTCCCAAACATATTTTTATGCCTCTCACAAAGTTATAAAGTCTCAGTCAGAAAAGTATTAAGAGAAAATTACACCAAGAACAAACTCCATCTTTGTGCCCAAACCCCATGTTGAAACAGGAAAGCCATTAGCTGAGAGGCCAATCTACTTAAAATGAAAGTATACCCTTTTAGTTATGGCAGTACTGAAAATGAAATTAGGTGTTCCAGGAAGATAGGCTTGTTGGTGCTAGGTGATTAAATACTCTCATACAGCATTTCTCAAATCTTTTCACCACCAAAGAGTGTTTGGCAACAGCGGTCAGAGAACATGGGCAATATTCCCTTTAAAGTCAAAGTTTTATCTTAAAAATAATCACAAATTATACTTTCTGTTCCACCATACATATATATTTGGTGTAATACAAAATTATCTTCTCTGAGTAAAACTGTCCCTTCAGGAAGACATTTAATAAGGGGCTGTGTGTATCCCATGGCACAAAATCACATACCCTGTTTGAGAAACACAAACTTAAGGAGATTATGGGGTCCCCAGAGAGTCAGTGTAGCACATTACCTTCTAATCACTATGGGCCAACTTATCAGAAATATTAATGAAACCCCCAGGCAAGAAGGAAGAAGGTCCCTAGGGAAGGAATGGAAAGTTATAGGATCACATGAAGACATACCTCAGAATTCTCAACAATGGCTAAACTGACACATAAATTAAAACCAGCACATAGCTTTAGCACACTCTGTTGGAAATAGGCCACTAGAATCTTATGGTGCAAGGGAAGTGAAATAAGCCATGCATGGAGCTCTCACACAGGGCTTCCACATTAAGGGCAGTGAAGGAGAGAATCTTTGTGACCTCCCTATGAACCCTCCCCAGGACCTGGGAAAGCTTCACAGTATATAGGAAACATCATCTCTGATGGGCATTGCTATTATGCACCACAGGTGGGCCTAATCACCTCTATATCTGTTCATTCAATATGCTCAAGAAATTGAGTATCAAGGAATATTAGTTACTCCCAACTCAAAAAGACAAAACTTTCAGAGTATTTAGATCACCCTGGAACTTACACTCCCCCAGATAATTGCACTAAATGGTGCCAAAGTCATCCACAGATCTTCCCCTTCTCAGGAAGTGGCTGGAACACCTGGAATGGTATGATTTTCATAGCTATTTTGAACAAAACAGTATGGAACTAGTTCAATCCACTGGGACCAAAACCAAGAGAAAACAGGGATTTGTTTTGTCTTCTTTTGGTCTCCTCTCTTAGCTCTACCCTCTTTGTCCATTCCATTACTCATCTCCACCTTCAGGAGAGGTGACATTAAAAAAAAAACTTTTAAGAGTAAAATCAACTCAGTGTATATAATAAGATTCACACAGAATACAAATGGTGAATATATTAGGAATTGCTTCTTATAATCATGTTGAAAATTATTTGTGAAAATCATTTACCATGCTTTCCCTACAGCTAATAGTTGTTCTGTGAGGTCTTTTTTCCAAAGAGTAGTCTATAGCTCAAATACATAGACCTAAGTCTTGCGCATTTTGATTTTGAGTCAAAGTCTGTGAATCTGATTCAAGTTATTGTTGCTCTTGTTCCAGGGGGTAAGTGGCTGCTCTCTGCATCATTGCTTTCTTGTCTTGTTGAGAAGAGAGGTCTCTTGCTTGGAAAGCACAGAGTTCCCATAGTGGGGAACCATTTGTTTCTCACAAAATGATCTATTCTATGGAACCCTGAACCAAAATGATGATCAATGCAGGTTTACTTCTTCATAATCATCCTAATTCAAAAAATTAAAAAGAATTTATCCCCATCTTTCAATATCTTTCTCTTGGTTTCTTGTCCACAAGACTACAAACTTCTTTGACTTAACCAGTCCAATAGGAAGGTTATGTTTGCTTCTAGATGAATAGGTTCATAGTTCACTTTAGGCATTATTCATTTAGTGAACCTGCAACAGCTGCAACATGCTTCATTATAAATACATTTATGTTACTTAATATAACCTCACTGAATAGAAGGATTTTTTCCATTTGATTATGTTCAGTGAGTACTATGAATATTCTATATACACCACTTCTATCAAAACTGTTTTTAAGGAAAATTCTCCTCTTATCAAAGTTAGAAGTATCTTGTTAAAAAATTTCTGGAGATTCCAATATGTTAAAGCTACCATTGTGATCTTTTCTCTGAGTTGTATTTGATTCTTAAAAAGACATCATCTTTGATGATGGTGTTGTAAAGGGAATAAGGGCAAGTCTTGTTTTCTATCAAAACTGGAAGTATTTTTTAAATAAACTAAAGTAAAATCTTCCAAACAGTGAACTTGAAGACTTGTGACAGCAGTGAGAAGAGCTTTAGAAGACAATCTCCTGGTGATTTTAATTTTCTTCCCCAATACATTGCATATGTTATATTAATCTTTAATGACAGATTTTAAATGGATATAAAACATGATAAATTATCATATGAAATTAATTAGGTGAGTTATAGTGACTTTTCTTTGCTAAAAACAAAGGATTAAATACCAAATTGTAAATGAGCTTTAGTGCAATGTAAACATCTTTAAATAGGAAATAGCA